CACACCACAGTGGCAGGATGAATAAGGGTGTGAATGGAACATGACATAGAATGGAGGGAGGAGGAGGGGGAGGCTAAAGGAGGGGAGGGGAGGGGGGAGGATGAGGTAAGGGTGGGGGGTTTTTGGTTGGAAGGAGGAGGGGGTGTTGGCAGGAGGGGGGAGGGGAGGGAGGTCATTTCGAGTTGAGCTTCTGTCTGAGTGTGGACGTGTGTGTGCGTTTGTTTGTGTGTATGTGAGTGTAAGAATAATTGTGCGTTTGTATGTGTTTATGTGTGTGTGTGTGTGTATGCTTGTTTGTTGATGTATGTGCGTGTGAGTGTGTTTGTGTATATGTGCTTGATTGTGTGTGAGCGTGTGTGTGTTTGTATGTGCGTAGTTGTATGTACCTGTTGATGATTGTGTATGTGTATGTGTGTGTGTATAAATGTGTGTACGTCTATCTATCTGTCTGTGTGTATGTGTCTAAATGTGGTGTGTGTGTGTGTGTGTGTATGTGCTTGTTGTTGATGTTTGTGTGCGTGCGTTGTGTGTGTGTGTGTGTGTGTGTGTGTGTGTGTGTGTGTGTGTGTGTGTGTGTGGTGTGTGTGTGTGTGTGTGTGTGTATGTGTGTGTGTGTTGTGTGTGTGTGTGTGTGTGTGTGTTGTGTGTGTGTGCATGTAACTTGTTTTGTGTGTATGTGCTTGTTTGTTGATGTTTGTGTGCGTGTATGTGTGTGTATGTGTATAACTGTGTGTATGTCTATCTATTATTCTATGTGTATGTGTCTGTGTGTTTGGCTGTGTTTATGCGTGTGTGTTTTATTTCTCCAACCGTGTAATACTTTTGCTTCTAACACATAAGATGCTCTGACATCAAGGCTGAATATTTCTTGTTTTTTCCTATTTATTTTTGTGTAACTTTATGCTGTCGGAATTTGTGTATTTTTCATGCGTTTTCATTTGTTTCATTCTTTTTTTTATATATTTCCGTTGATATTTTTTTGTGTATTGCGTTTTGCACGTGTTTTTTGTAGTTGTTGTTCTTGTTTTGTTGTTATTGTTATCGTTGTTGTTGCCGTTGTTGGTTTTGTTGTATATGTTGTTATTGTTATTGTCGTTCTTGTTATTGTTATTGTTGCTGCTGCTGTTGTCGTTGTTGTTATTGTTGTTGCTGTTCTTTTCGTCCTTGTTATTGTTATTACTGTTGTTGTTGTTGTTTTTGTCGTTCTACTACTACTTATGCTACTGTTGTTGTTTTTTCGTAGAAAACTGATAAATATTATTAGAAAAAATTACTACACTCACATCTCACAAGTTTTGTTGTTTTGTTTAACTGATAAATATTAATTAAAATTTATTACATCTCACAAGTATGATTTAATTAAAGTTACTTTGTGATGATTATTATTTGAATAACTGATCAACAGCGAATCAACAAAAGCATTATTAAAGTGTCGTTTATTTTTTTCTGTTTTATTATGTTTTCTTTTTTATTATTTTTTATTGTTATTATTTTATAATTATATTATTATTGTTTTTATTGTTTTTATTTTATTATTATGTTTTCTGTTTTTTTTTCTTCCTTTATTATGTGTTATTTCATTCCTGTTTTACTGTTTTTTATTTTGTTGTTATAACCCCATTCGTCTTTTTTATCCTCCATTCATTCATTTATCTTCATCTATTTTCTTCGTCTGTCCTCCATCTCTTCTTTTTACGTCTCATTTTTCTCTCTTCTACTTTCGGTCTCTCTCTTCTTGTTGTAATATATTTTTTCCTTCCTTCTTCCCATTCTCCTCCTGTCCTCCTCTTCCCCTTCTTTCGCTCTTCTTCCCTTCTTCCCCATTCCTCCCTCTTGTCCCCCTTCCTCTCCTTCTTTCCATCCCCCCCGTGACGGTCTTCCTCTCTTCTCACCCTCCCTCGTCCCTCTCTCGCTTCTCCATTCTCTCTTTTGTCCCCCTTCTTCTCCTTCTTTCCTCTCACCTCTTTCCTCTCTTCTCCCCCTCTTTTCCATTTCTCCTTTCCCTTCTCACTCTTCCCATTCTCTCTCTTCCCATTCTCCTCTTCCCATTCTCCCTCATTCCCATTCTCTTCTCTTCCATTCTCCTCTTCCCATTCTCCCTTCCACCATTTCTCCTCTTCCCATTCTCCTCTTCCCATTCTCCTCTTCCCATTCTCCTCTTCCCATTGCTCCTCTTTCCATTCTCCTCTTCCCATTCCTTCCTGGGCGCGCCCTGCCTCTTCCCTCCTGCTTCCCCCCTGGCTCCCATCAATTCTCCTCTCCCTTCTTCCATTCTCCTCTTCACATTGATCCTCTTCCCGGTCCCGAGCTCTCCCCCCTCTTACCCGCTCCCCCCCCCCCGCAAGAATGTAAGGGTTGCAGGGAGTAATGCGGTAATCCTCTTAACTGCTA